TGCTACTTGATCTTTGTTTCTCTATGTTACTTGATCTTTCTCTCCCAAAGATTGAAGATCGATCGATTCCTTTTCATTTTTGTTTATGATTGTGTATTTGTTTGATTATACTCCGGCGTTTTGGTTTTGATGGACGGATCTGATTCGATTTGGTTTCTTTTTGTGTTTTCAGATCATGAACGACCGTGAGACGGGAGGTCCAGGGGCTTCGGCTTCGTCACCTTCAACAACGAGAATGCCATGAAGGATTCGATTGAAGGCATGAACGGCCAAAACCTCGACGGCCGTAACATCACCGTCAACGAGGTCTAGTCTCGTGGAAGCGTTAGGCGTTTTCTAATGCGTCTCGACTTCAACTCCTTCTTTGAGGTAAAATTCTATGCAAGATGCTGCTCTGTAGGTAGGGGAAAGCCATTTGAGAGCTACTCAAACTTGTTGAGTTTTTGTTTTTAGGCTTATCGTTCCACAGTTCTATTTATTTTTGTAGCTAGAGATCCTTGATTGCTGATTGTGATGATAGCTTGGAGCAGAAGAGCTCCATATAAATTGATGGCCAATAATTCACTAGGGAATCAAAAGGTCTTTTCGACACCTTGCCCACACTTGATAGGATATGTGGTTTCTTTTTTGAATATTACAAGGAAATTCATGTTTAGTCAACTATGAATTTTTGTGGACCTTTTTCAATCTATTAGAGGTTCATGTTGACTTTGTATTTCTGCCAAGCACATAACCGAAGCATGATTGTGCGTTGATTTTTTATTTTTTTTCTGTTCGTTTAATTAATTTGTTGAAGCACTTGTTACTGTTGCTCTTACATATTTTTAGTTATTCCTTGTATGTGCTTTGTCCATATTTTCTATAGCAGAACTCATGGAATTCTAAAATTTCCTATAGGTATTTATCATCTTTAATTTCACGATCCTTCTTGGACATTGGCTCTTTATCAAGGATACTGGACAGCATAATGAAACTTTGCCTTCAGTTTTGCTGAAACATTGAGAACTAGGAAAGCAATGGAAATACATATGAATTGGAACACTTTGTAGAGGTAAACATCATTGGTTTGCGAAAATATTCTATCTTCTTGCAATTATTGGCAAGAATAATTTCCACATTTTATA